ATTGTTTTAAAGTCCAGTTCTTTGGACAGCAACACAACAACAGTGCTTTAGGCACATTTGAGCATAGCTATCATGTTTAATGAGTAAGGATTTTCAGTGCTCTCATAACTCCCAGCAATTGTTTGCATTTTTTCCCCAGCCAGAACTTTATAGAGTACTTCTGACACACAAACTAATGTTATTTCCTCTCTATTGTGACACTGCTTTCTTTTAACACATTAGTTACATAGTCACCAGTACAGAAAAAGACCTGTTTTGTGAAAATGTTTTGCTGCCATTCAGTTATATAAAGAAATGTACGTGATTCTCAAGCATTGAAGTTAATGGTCTTCAAAAGTTCATTGCTCTACCATTTCCATTAGTGCTTTAGTGTTCAATGACTTGAACAGGGGCCCTTTCGCACTACACAATTATAGCACTATGATCCCACTTTCACTGCAAAATCTGCATCCAATGCAATTCTGGGGGTTTTGTTTGGTGGACACTAAGGAATTATAAATGCTCCTTCCCAAATGACAAATCCTAGGGTGCTATAGGATGCAACCATGGCATTTAAAGTGGAATGATAATTGTGTGATGTGAAGGGGTACAAGGAGATACCCTTGGAAGGTGGGTAAAATGGCAATTTGTTCTTCTTCTTGCCCAAGGGGATTTCTAAGGCTTTCAGGAGAATCAAAACATATACTGAGGAATAAAGAAACAGATAAAGGAGGAGCCACAGTTTTTCCCCAGGGTGTGTTTTTGAATCCTACCTAGAAGCAGTACCTCTGCTCCCTCTACTGGACAGCTATAATGCTGCATTTTGGAATGGTTATTCTTAAAAGCTGCTGATCTAATTCACCCAAGGTGAATCTTGTTCCATCTGGGTCAGCTTATGTGTCCTTCTAGTTCACCATTGTCTACCGGCAGCATAAATCCAGTTTCTAGTGGTGAGCTAGAAAGAGGCCTTTCAAAAGAAAATTCTGTTTGACCTTTCTGGCCGACACTATCAGGTTCTAGAACTTGGACACTTTAGACCAGGGGTAGGCAACCTTTTTGAGCCAGGGGCTGGGTTGCTGTCCCTCAGACAATTGGGGGGCCGAAGCACCAAAAATAAATAAATAAATAAATAAATAATTAAAAAAATAAAAAAATTAAAAAATATGCATGCACACTCTCTCAGCCCCAGAAAAGCCATGGCAAAACCCCTGTGGAGATTTTGCCAAGAAAACCCCAAGAACAATTAATAACAACAATAATTAATATCATCATAGCGGGCGGCAGCGGCAGCGAGGGGCGGCGGTGGCAGGAGTGGCCTGGGGCCGGTCCAAAGGCCTCGGGGGGCCGCATCCGGCCCCCAGGCCTTAGGTTGCCTACCCCTGCTTTAGACCATCTGCATACAAAGTACACATTCTGTAATCAATAATGGCCCAGTACTTCACCATTTCCAAGACAGGAGGCTGGCCCTACCATTAACTGAAGTAAGAGAGCTACCTCAAGTAGTTCATTTGAAGTGTCATGAAAGTGCAGCATACTGTTAGCTTTTTAATGTGGTATTTTAATTTCTGTGTAGTGGAGGAGAAGTTTTTTTTACTGGTTTTTATACCTCAAATACCTATTCTTAGGTAAAAGGTAAAAGTTTTCACTTGACATTAATGTCTAATCATAACCAACTGTAGGGGCCAGTGCTCATCTCTGTTACTAAGTCAAAGAGCCAGCATTATCCAAGGACTGCTCTGGTGCTAATGTGGCCAGCATGACTGAACCAAATGCTGTTACCTTCCCACTGAAGTGGTACCTATTTATCTACTTGCATTTGCATGCTTTTGAACTGCTAGGTTGGCAGAAGCTGGGAATAGTGACAGGAGCTCACCACATCATGTGGCACTTGGGCCTCGAACTGCCAACCTTCCAACCTTACGATCATCAGAATTGGCATCTTAACCACTAAGCCCTGGGTACTATGTACTTTTTCCTGGGTAGGAAGGGTATAATTTCTTGTTCTTCCTGAGGCAAGACTGCACAAGATAACATTTTCAGCTTACTGCATCACAGACTCATGAGCTCAGTACTAGTGGACTGTAACTTTTGCAGTGATATCCACCACTATTCATTTCATGTTCTTATAAAGTATTAGCATTTAAATGTAGGCACTTAGGAATGTACACTGAGTGACATCAAACCTGGTTTTTCTTTTCTTTTTAATGGTGAAAGCAAAACAATTACAAGCAGATTATTTAATACTGCCTAAATGCCCAAAAGGATCCTATCTGATATGGGAAGCTAAGCAGTTAATACCAGGATGGGAGACTGGCAGAGAATGCCAGGTACTGTAGGCTATATTATAGAGGAAAGAACTGGCCAAACCTGAGTATTCCTGGCCTAAGAAAATCCAATGAAATTTATGGTGTCACCATAAGCTGACAGTTGACTTGAAGGTGCACACACACAGAGATGTGACAGCAATGAAAGACATGCTTCCTCAGCCTGTTGTTATGAACATTTTCTTTTGAATGGTTGCTGCACTTCTCCATTGGCTTCCTTGTGTTATTATACATATGATGATCATGCATTATCCCTGCACACATTATATTCTGTCACCATGTTATGAATGGTATAACCTAGCTGCTATGTTTATCCTTCATCACAGAGTTGGAGAGTGTCTTGTAGGTCTTAGGGAAATCCAAGCCAAGAACTTTCCCAATAGAAGAGTGTCAACCTTTTCTTGGGGATTTCCAGTGAGAGAAAGCCAAGTACCACTCTAAGTACCTACATTCAGCCCTTTGTTTTCATGGGGGATTCGTTCTGTATTCATGGGGGATTCATTCCCCACATGAAAACAGAGACTTGCTGATATGTAAGCCCCATAGGCTTGAATGGGGCATGCCCCATTGATCTTAATAGAGGTCGCCCCTCTAGGGTGACTGTAGTGTATTGTCAAATTATTCTTACCATTGAGATGTTTCTCCCCATGTTCAGCCAAAATCTACCTTGGACCAGAGCTTGAAAAGTTTGTGTTAGGAAGAATGAACAAACTGAAACCATCCATGTGAGTAGTGGTAAGATTCAGATCTTTCTCCTTCTGTAATCAATTTCTAAGTGGTATAGAACAGATAATGTTTTAAAAGCACCATTACGACCACCATCTTATGGATGTTTTCAGCATGTCTTTTATTCATTCTCAAAATTAACTTTCCAGGGTATATTTCCAATAACAAGCACATTAAGTCAAGTCCTGGCCTCTGGAGCAGCAGAAAATAAGAGTATTTCTATTTATTTATTGGATTTATATATTGCCATTCTCCCAAAATGGGACTTCAATGTAGCTTGTAAAGTGGCTTACAATAATTTAAAAAGGATAACACTAAAACATTAATTACGACAGTTAAAATAATTAGATATTAAAACATAAGTTAAAACACACAAAACCATTTAAAAGTTTTAAAAAACATTAAAACAGCACACCACACTACATAATTAAAATTCACACATCAAAAGCCTGCCTAAATTAAAATTTCTTTAACTGCTGGTGAAAAGTGAGCAAGGAGGGGGCCGATCTGACCTCCTGTGGCAGGGAGTTCCACAGTCTGGGAGCAGCCACAGAGAAGGCTCTCTTGAGTCTTCACCAAGCATGCCTGCAAAGATGGTGGGACTGAGAGAAAACCCTCCTCTGCCAATCTTAATGCTCTGGCAGGCTTGTATAGGAAGATATGGTCCTTCAGCCAGTCTGCACTGCAGAATTATAGAAAATTGATATCACTTATGGTTCCATGCTACAGAATCCTGAGATTTATACAGTGGTACCTCTACTTACGAATGCTTCTACTAACGAAAAATTCAACTTACGAAATGAGCCTCCAGAAAAAATTTGCTTCTACTTACGAAAGTGTTCCAACTTACGAAATTGGTGTGAACAAGCTGCTCTCTGAATTTCATGGAATGCTATTGGTTAGTGAAATCTAGCAAAGCAGCACTGTATTGGCTAGCGAAAGAGGAAGTATTTGCCTAGTGAAATCAAGCTAGGCAGCCCTGTTTGGGCTTGCAAAAGAGGAGAGGAAGTGTGGCTAGCAAAGTTGGTGGCTTCTGAGATCCAGGAAGGTAGGACTTGTGGCTTTTGAACTTCAGGATTGTATTTTTGGCTTCTGATATTTGTGGCTTCTGATATTCAGGATGGAGTCATTAAAATTAAAGTGTTATTGAACTGCTATAATTGTGTAGTGTGCTATATTTTGATAATTATCTTAAGCCAGGAATGCTGATCAGAAGGTCTCACAGACCCTTTAGAGCAGGGACAGGCAACCTTTTTGAGACCTGGGCCAGTCTCCCATATCCCAGGTCTCAGCTGGGCCGAGGGGGGGGGGGAATGGCGGCGTGCGCGCTCATGCGCACGCGCGCACCCTCCTCTGCCGCTCACGACCCCCCCGCTCACACTGCTGCCGCGGCTGCTACCACAGCCGCCGCCGTAACACACGCGGCCGCAGCCACCACGGTGCATGTCACGGCTGCCATTTTGGAAGTCCAAATTGCGACCGTGATGCGTTTGCACATGCACAAGAGTACTGCGCATGCGCAAATGGGTCGCTACCACCATTTTGACTTCCAAAATGGCGACTGCAGTGAGCGCGGCCGAAAACGTGCCCCGACGGTGGCGCGCAGCGATGGCGACGGCAGCAACCTTCGGCGTGGGCCGGTAAGTCAGGGGCCCGGGGCCTTAACTGTGAGTACCGATGACGTGGACAAGCTGCTTGGAAGGATGAGGAAGA